TGTAATGCATGATATACACTGGGACAATACACTGAGACAAGCAATATAGATTTAAACGAATAGAAAGACTTCTCATCCTGGCAAAATAATACCGATTTTATACCCATCGTAAATAATCAAACCCAAACTTATACCTGAAAATCTTAAAACGGGACTCATTTCATCAGCACGCCTCTTGAGCTTACTGTGTACTTCGAGATCGTCTCTTCATGATGTTTAACTATTTCTTGTTTCTAAAGCAACTACTGCACGTATATACAATTTTTGGAAAGTCCGTTATGATTGAAAAAAACAAAACACTTCGCACTTTTACGGTTCGAACGTACATTCCCGTCCTTGCCCTGTTATCGCGAAGTAATGAGCAGTCCGTAATACTTCTTTATTTTAACAGAATCTAATTTATGTCCAGTAGAAAATCAAATTATTTACCTGACATCAGCAGAGAGCTATAATTGTATGTGTATATTGAATTTATATAATTGTATGTGATGCTTGGTATATCAGGCATATTATGTGAACTATAGTGTACTAAATGTTATTACTGTTTATAGTGGCTCGAACTATACTGCATGGTAAATATGGCAAAGAACATGAGAGGGATTATGATTTGCTCAAGTAGTGATATTCTAACATATTTGTGTAAAGTGGTTAAGCGAGTTTGCCCTGCGTCAATGAGATTGTAGATTCATTCTTCTTAATCGACTTCTCGCTCAACACTGTACATGACGCTTCCGTACTGTACGAACAACCGTGTGCTAAGAGAATGGCATATCTGACGAAAGACAATGATTGTTGGTATTTTTTGCTGTCAGTGAATATTAATGAACACAACCAATTTGATCGATTTTTCAGTTGGACTATCCGAGTAATAACTAAAATATAAGCATTGTGGGTAGAAATTCTCAAGGGCTGGCACACCAGTGAATATTATTTGCGACTGAATGATTCTAAAGAAGCACAGTAGACCGCACCGTTTTTGTTTGTTTTGCCATTGGTACTAGTCCAATAACTGTGATTTATTTGATTTGCTGTACGCCAATGGTGTAGCGATATTTCCAGACCTGTGTTGGTGGATTACTTCTCATAAATAGATAGCGTCAATATTGAAATCATAAAGGCCTATATTTAGGATCTAATTTATCATTTAAGAATTCTTGATCGAAAGCCGTAGGTGATTTTGCTGGACAAGCAAACAAGGCACGTTTTCTTTATTTGGTTTCGAACGTGAAGTCGGTGGACTGTCATGAATTTGTTTTCGCGTATCTGTTGACCGACTTAATTAACTGATTATTAGCGAATTGCTGTGTTATGTCTGTCATCGTGTAGGCCTATTTGAAGTTTTGGACGGAACTTGGCTCAGTGGTTTGGAACTAATTACAAGATACCGTCGCTATTCTGATATTCATAGTTATTAATGTAGTGAACGATTAATCAAAAGATATGACGTATTCAGTACTTAGTGTGATTGGCTTTATGATTGAAGGTTACGCCTTAGAGTCTCTTTACTGCTTTGTAATTGGTTAGAGTTTTGAAAATGAATAAAGAGAGTTTGAGTTGGTCTTGGCGAATACTCCACGATAGACGCAGTCTGAGAGTCGAGAGTCCAGTCTTGGGGCGAGCCTTGACGCAGTCCAGTCTTGGGCTAGTCTTGGGTCAGCCTTGCGAGAGTCTTGGGGACTTTTCCCCAGGGCGCCGTGTCTTATAGAGTGCTCGGAAGACCGACTAAGACGAGAGCTGAAACGTATTTCGTTGTGTGTGCCTTATTTGACTGTAAAGTATAAGTGACTTTCCCGATCCCGTACCTCAAGGGGACGAGATAGAGAGACGAGACGAGTTTTCCCCCTGACAAGTGTGGAGAACCCAGAGAGAGAAGATTTACCCCTGATAGGACTAAGCTTCAAGGTTTACATCATTTCCGTTAGTTGCTGAATAGTTAAACATGCATATAGATTAATGTACGCCACCGATGAAAACGGGGGGAAATTCTTCGACCACAGCATTTTATTCATATATTTTCATACCGTTTTGGTACAGTGATACAGTGTCAGTGATATGTATGAACATAATTGTTTTAGTATTATTTGTCCAACCTGAGGGAGTTACTTAAACATACATATTACTAGGTATTTCAAACTTCTAATAAATAGAAATATCCTATGAAATCAGAATTCGCTACAGTTAACAATCTGAATGAACATTTGTACATAGAGCTTTAAATTTAAATATGAATTAAGCTTTAATATAGATGCGTTTAGTGTGTATATATTGATATTCTATTATATTTGTGCATCGCTGTATCTGTGTTAGGTTATGCGCACACACACTGTGAACAATGGATTTTAGGTTTAGAAAAGTCTCTAAAATCAAACATAGCCATCCGAGTCATTTACTAGATTATCGGTGAACGTGCTTCAAATAATGACGCATTTAAAAAACGACCACGTTTTGCTTGATTT